CTAGAAAAGATATTATGAAATGCATTCTGGAATTTAAAATCCATAAATACTAAATATAAAGAAATTAATAATAAAATTGTAAAAATCATAATACATCTCATAATTTAAATACTTTTGAATGATGAAATTTATTCTCAAATACAGATGTTCTTCAAATAGATTTTAAAAAATATTTCTAAATGTATTAATTTTTGTTATTTTTAGATTTTAAGTTGTAAAATTTTGTTCATTACATTTTTTTTTTAACACTAAAATTTATAAGTGGGTGTGAAAAAATGAAATCAAATTCAATAAGATATTGTATTTAAAATTAAAAAATATACAAGAATTTTATTTAAACTCTAATTAATTAGTAAATATGTAATATACATCACAAATTTTTTATCAATCGGCTTAGAGAGTATTATAAAGTCTATCTATGTGTCATCATTTCTTTTTATGCTATTCTTTTTATTGTTATTTAAAATGTTATCCCCTCAATAATATTTACATATTGTAATGTTTTATAATAATCACATTAAAAATGTTTGTATTAGGTTTCCCACAAATATTTTTGGATTTCGTTTTTTTAGTGTTTTAACGTAGCACTTTGGATGTGTCTTTATTCCTTTCTGAAGTTAAAAACCAAAGGAATGGCACTATAAATCAATAGTGTGCAAGATTGTGTGTGTATTTGGGCTAGAAAACAGATAAACAGTGTTGTAGGAAAAAGAACTTTAAGTCATATATAGGGAACAGTCAACAGTTCAGTACATTATCTATATTTGCAGCTTAATTTAAAAAAGATAATTTCTGCTGGTCGTAAGAGATCGCCTCCATCCCCGAAGATTCCAAGCAGACGTTTGCTGAAAACTTTGTTGTTAAAGAAATTTGATGAAAAAATTAAAACTACCTCGTATATAGGTTAGAAAGCCTATATTCGATCTAAATAATTTTATCTTCGTCTTATAAGGAGCATGCGACATCGATTATTGCATCCGGTTGAGTTGCTAAGTGCGGAGTTTCGACTACACTGTAGATTGTTTCGGTGCATCTTGTAGGTTTGTGGAAGCCAAATTGAAGCAGCATATGTCGCCATGAACTGCTGGTGATTGCCTTTAGAGCGTTGTTGCAACTCTTCAAATAAGTGCACACATACGTCTCATATGTGCAGAAAAGAAGTATACAGACAAGTACGATTCTCAAGATTTTTGGTATAGTGGTGGTGCGGGTCCTAAATTTACCAATGAATATGGGTAGAGTAAAGGCAATATTTTTAGTTTAGGAAGTAAAGAAAGTCGTCGAAGATTTGACTTCCGATAAGTAAAGATTTCTAACTCGAAAACATTATTAGGGAAATATGTACATTGATTTTATTGCATAATATAGCGGGATCTTAACCTATGGTAAAAACGTGCAATCATGTGCATATGTACATTATGACTTTGACTTTTTCTGTTCTTGATATTAGTGCTGTTATTTCGTACTTTGACTGTTATATACATATGTTACAACAGTATAATATATATGTATAGTATATATATATATATATAATGTATGTATAATAATAGTTTTAGTAAAATGAAATCTATTATTTTTGTATGAAATTGCAGGCTATGTGTAATATAGTTAGAATGATTCGATTTAGGTCAAATATGCACCATTTTATTCAAAATCTTCGTTCTTGTTGGTAAAAAATTTAAACAGCCGATTTTCATAAGCCTCGCTTGAAGAAAATTTTTTACCCATAAAATTGTTTGCCATAGACAGGAACATTCATTAATCACTTGGTGCCAGGTCGGAACTATAAGGTGGATGGATAAGAACTTCCCAATCAGAAGCTTTTGGAGAATCAAAATCGATGTGCGGGGGATATGGCGTTGGCCACACACCACTGCGATAGAACACAATTCCTCTCCTATTTCCCAAAGCTGGCCGTTTCTGGGCGATTGCTTTGGTCTATTTGTTCAGACGGACAGTTCGGTTCCAAGTTAAGAGTTTTGCCGTAGGGGAAGCAAGTTATAGTAGATGATTCCCTGTTAAACCTAATAAACACACAGTAAAACCTTCCTGGCCGGCAAAGGTGTACGTTTTAAAATTATCCGTTATATTTCAATAAGACCCAATGTTCTTCTACAGTTAGTTTTTTTTATAGATGGTATTATTTTCTTCTTTTTTTTTTGTATTTCCTTAACCTTTACATATGTATGTACATAAAAGTGTAACAACAATCAGTACTTTAAAAATACGTACTTTTAATTATGTAGTATTCTTATATTTTTAAGTATTTTTTATTTTTTTTTGTCATGTTTCATTTAAATAATTGAATTAAATGATTGTTTTTTTTTTATGACGATCATAAAATAAAGTTCACAAATTGACAGAGGCTCATTTATTTTGCATTTAGCAAAAACAAAAAAATAATTGAATGTCAAATTTGCGTATTTCAAACTTATTTGCTTTTTTTAATAAATATGATAAGCTAAAACCAAAACAAAAAAAATATATAAACCGCAGACATGTGTGCATTTTTGTATATTTATTTTTATATCGTTTTTTTTTAACTTGTTTTTTTTCACGTTTATGTTTTTATTGCCGCTTTCAAATAATGCCAACGAGTTCCCTCTCGTAGTTTCTTTTGACGAAATTTCGCAAAAACATAAAACATACACACACACGCATACACACACGCACGCACGCATACAAACCCCAACAAACCAATAAACAAATGAAATCATCTCACAAATTTCAACAGTTATGATATCAGTGTTTTTGTTTTTGTTTTTGTTTTTGCTATTATTTACCTTTGAATTTTGTTTTGTTTTCTCTCAAACTAGGGGTTTGCACTCAATAATTTTATTTTATTTTGTTTTTTTGTTTTGTGTTTTTTATTTGTACTTTTATTCTTTGTAATTGTGCGGCGATATTATAAATATATGTATGCACATACGTATGTACATAGTATAAAAATATTGTAATATGCCCTACAATTCAAATTAATAAAAGTGAAATTTTATACCCATTTAACTTATCTATCGAACTAAACTCTTTATGATATAACTTCCATATCTCCCTTACCTTATTATTGTTTACAAGGTCAAAGAACTTGTCTACTGTTTCCTACTACTATCATGAGAACTGTAAACATTTTTGCAGCTGAGAATATAGACGATAGACACAGCGGTATATGCGACAAACTTCTAGCACATACTCTGTCCATAATTAATATGGAGCAAGTGTTGTCTCTTTCATTATTTCCGTCATGCAATAATTTCAATTATTTTTTTAACTAATTAATTCTCTAAACAACAAACACTACGCCCTCTTTTTACAATTGATGTATTTGTTGTTGTATTGCAATAGTTTATTGTTATTGTTATGTACTAATTTGACAAAGCCGTATTTATAAAATGCCATATTGTAAAAAGATAAAATAATTTGCAAAACTTTTGCCTCAATTATTTTGTTTTTCATTATTTGATAACAGTAAGGAACATATAAAAATAAATGGGCTTGACAATATTATCCAGATATAAGTAGAGAACAGCAGATACTAAACAAAAACACTACATGCGTATGTACATATAAGGCCACGACTATCACTGATACTTCCAGACTTTACCTTTTAATTAATTACTGTTTATACATACATATACTACTTATAAGATAATGAAAACTTTTTATTAATTGACATTGAGCTTCGATAAATTAATATATTAGATTATTGAAAAATCATTTCAATAAATACTGATATTCTTTTTTTAATTGATCAGATGTTATGAATAGTTATAATTATTACGTTATAAAAATTATTATATTATTTGTCTAGACTGGATAAAAATTTTAGGTTTAGATAAGTTAAGAAATAGATACCAATGAACAGTAATCATATGATCTTATTACTGTTAATAATAGGTGTAGTAAAAAATAAATCCATTATTTTTGTATGAAATTGAAGACTTACCATAGTCAGAATGATCCGATTTAGGTCAAATATGCACCGTTTCGTTCGATAACTTGTTGCCATTTTGAAAATAATTTCATTATATCTTTCTCATCGTCGACAGGCTAATAGTGAATGGGCCTATACTACCCCAGCAGTCAAGTCAAAGGGTACATGGCCAATCTCTTCCAAATGCAGAACCTCTGACTTGATACACAGAAGTAAATCAGAGGTATTTAGGTTAATATCTGTCTCTACAAGGCACTGGTCCATAGGACGAAGTAGAGTTAGCTTGGCCTATTCTGTGGTATCTCCTGCAGGCATATCTACCAACTCTCGAAGAAAGGACACCAGAACACATGTTGTATCTATGTAAGAGCTGCCTGTATGACTAGTGAACATCATGAAGGAGATCGCGCTATAAATATTTTATTAAATTATAATTTATCCATGTATATCGTTTTACCATGCTCATAAAGTTTTTGATTTTTGTTGACTTTAAAGTAATAATTCAAGTTATTTGGACATCTTCATTTGAAATAATGGTTTAGCCGTCTAAAATATTTTTATAGAAACCTATAACAGAGATAATTTGAAGGTGTCAGAAGTAGAAAATTTATTGGGTGGTAGTTCTATTCAAACTTTAGAAGCTTTTGGTAAGTCACTAAACTTGTATAAGCTAGAGCTTTATCTTGATGGAACGCTTCTTCTTCTTTTTTTGCTCAAAACTGGGTTTTATTGTCTTGTATTGTATTTATTATAGAAAAATTAATATTATTATATGAAAAATAAAATTTGTGCAATTTATAAATTGGTCGTATATATTTCAGAATTAATCGTGGTAATATGTGATAGAAGTTGAAACAAATAGTTTTATTTTTTTTTAATGAATATTAACTTTCAGTTTGGTTTTTAATTTTATGACCTGTTCCTATTCCTTATATCCAGTGATAGTTTACTTTAAAAATGCATAATTTTCTTGATTTTTGAATAAAAGTGAGAGTTTTTAAACTGATCATTTATTATCTATTATAATATATCGTATACAGGGTATAATAATAATTAAATATATCATATTTTATTTGCAGGTCAGAATGCATGTGAAAAGAAGTCGTTCATATTTTTACGAAAAGAGCTACCCGTACGACTAGCGAACATCATGAAGGAGATCGCGCTATTACCAGACAATTTATTAAACACAAGATCAGTAAGCCAAGTAAGCACTTGGTATATGAAAAGCTTCGAAGAGGTGATAGAATTTGAAAAAGCTGAACCGACACACTGCAATCTACAAAAGTATGTTTTATATGAATATATATATATATATTAAATATATATACCATATGTACAAGGTGTTTCTTAAAAAAATTACTTAAATGCAGGAGATTATCATATAATAAGTTATATAACAAATCTTTAAATGATCTTTAATCAAATATTATATTTAAATGACTTTAGAAACAATGATAATTCTAAATTTATTTATGTGAAATATTTTATTTTTCACAAAACCTTATTTGTAAAACAAAGTATATTACATATATACCGACTATAAACTTAAGTAAAAAGAATTTCGAGAATATTTCCTAAGATCACTGATAATGAATACTTAGTAATACTTGAAACGCTAATGGTTAGTCAAATTTCAATAAATTAACTAAACTTTTGTTCTTGTCTTTCTTTGCTATTCGAATCCTTCGAACTTTCAAAAAAGAGCTTCTTTGTCATCATTAGAAGCGTAACTTTCGGCAAAAATAATTAACTTCAAAAAACCTTATTTGTCTTAATATTTTCTGCAGTTATATCATTTTATTAGGAAACACCCTGTTTATATTGATATAATAAAACGTGTACAAAATATTTTGTCATTAACTAATTTAATTTATGCTTTTATAGATTTTGTAGTACGATCGGACAAATTCGGAATCGACACAGTGAAGTTGTGCAGACAATGGCACAAGGTGTCATCGAACTGAAAGAAGCGCAAGACGGAAACGTTGACTCAGCATTGGAAACCTCGATACAATATTTTCTGGACCGTCTATACATGTCGCGCATTAGCATACGAATGCTAATTAATCAGCACAGTAAGTGATATCACTCGCTACTTTTACTTTTACGCAATAAAATTTAAAATTTTATTTTTATCAACAACGTAGCGTTATTGTTCGGTAAATATCCGAATGAGCAAGGGCGACATATTGGCTGCTTGGATCCGGCATGTCAGCTATCATCTGTTGTGATGGATGCCTACGAGAATGCGCGTTTTCTGTGTGATCAATATTATTTAACTAGCCCCGAATTGCAAATCAAGGAATATAATCAAATGGAAAATGAAACGTTACCTATACGTACTGTGTATGTGCCATCGCATTTATACCATATGCTTTTCGAACTATTTAAAAATTCTATGCGCGCGGTTGTAGAGCGCCATGACCAAGATAAGTGTGATAAACTACCACCAATAGAAGTAATGATTGTACGTGGTAAGGAAGATATTTGCGTTAAGGTATGTATTTTTGAATTTATTTTATGAATAAATATATTCTATAAATCTTTGAATTTTTATTTTATTTTAAATAGATCTCAGACCAAGGTGGTGGTATACCACGTTCACAAACCGATCAACTATTTAAATATATGTATAGTACAGCACCGCAACCTTCAAAATCGGATTTACATACAGTACCATTAGCCGGTTATGGTTATGGACTACCAATTTCTAGACTTTATGCACGCTATTTTCATGGCGATATCGTTTTACTTTCATGTGAAGGTTTCGGTACTGATGCTATAATCTATATGAAGGTATATAAATGTTTTGTTCATTGAACGATGCAAAATCTTTTACTTATAATTGTATCATTGCTTTAGGCACTTTCTGACGAGGCAAATGAACTTTTACCCATATTCAATAAGACAAGTTCTAAGTTCTATCGTGCAACTGTACCCACTGGAGATTGGTCCAATCAGGTAAAACACATAAAAAAGAAGAAGGATGCTGTTATAATTTAGAGTAGTGAAGTTACTAAATGTTCATGGGTTAATTGGTGGCAAAAAAGAAATTCTAATGAATGAACCAAGTTGATGTTATCCAAATCCCACTGGTCCCTCATTATAGCATATATTTTAATTATATTATAATTGATTTGTTACAGTTGTTGTACTGTAGATTTTTAGAGATTATTATCTATTGCGATTATTGTTAATTTTTATGTTATTTGCATGTTTTTTCCCCCCAAAATTTGCTTTATTCTTTGCCGTGTATTTCATGTGTGTAAAAGAATTAACTAATTTGTATATATTTAATAAAAGTGACATTCCAGAAACATTTTGTAATAAGTAAAAAGTTTAAAGTTTTTTCATGTTGTTTTTTTAGAGTTTAAAATAAAAAATGTTTTAAGTTTTGATGATATTAATTTTTTTTATATTATTTTTATATAAATTTCAAATTAAAAGATTTAGAAAAAAGTTTTTTAATTTTTAAATTTTAATTGTGTAAGTTTTTAGTTTAATTTTCCAGGCCGCAAAAGAAAGAGTGAATAATTTTATATCTTATTGAAATTTATTTTTTATATTATTTTATTTATTTAATAAAGTTTAATTTTAATTTTAATTTTATTATATAAAAATTATTCTGTATTTAATATACATATACTTTGAATTTATATTAATTTGTTTTTAAACTTTACACTTTTTCATTTTTTCATTGATGTATTTAAGAATGAATTTAATAATTATTACTATTTTCATTATATAAAGCAAATAAAATAAATTGAAATTAATATTAAACACGACAGAATCATGAAGCAAAGCTTAACATTATGTTATAATAGGGAAAAATATTGAAATAATATTTAAAAATTTTTGGTTAAACATTATAACTTAAGTTTAATTTATTATTATTATTATATTTCTTTTGTATACTATATATTTGAATAAAAAAATAAGAATGTTTTTGTAATAATATTAGACGCACATTTTATGTTATAAAAATTTTTATGAAAATTAGTCAAATAAACATTTTTAAAACAATGTATGCTTTTAATGATTAATTTTTTTTTCTGATGTTTCAATTTCAGGATTAAAATTTGAATGTTTTTGTTATTATTGTTATCCTTTTGAGTACTCCCTGCACGTTGCGATTTCGTTAAAGTTAATAAACTAAATCAGCCTTTTTCTATATATGTTAAGCTACATTTTATATATCATTTTATTTAAATTATTTGTATAATTTCAGAAATTTTCCAACCGTTGGCGTTATTTATATAGTCAATTTCAGACTAAAAATGATTAGCGTACGTTTTCACTATAAATTATTTATAGATGTTTATTATTAATGTTTCACATTATGCATTTTTCATATCGTTTGCCGTCACATTTAAAGGCAACTTATGCTTGATTAATAATTTAGCCCTTTAGTCCTTTTTGAGCTTACACATTGTTCATTTATACTGTATATATATAAAAAAATTGTAATCTGTGGTTTCGAGAATCCACCGGCTTTTATTGTAGCATCGAGGTCTAAAGACAATATTTTAAATTTCAAGTAATTTTGAATATAGGAAAAAGCATTTCATTGAATTAATTACAGTATTTACTCACCATATGCCATTTTAATATTGTGCTTGCAGAATAGCAAACCGGATTAGACCAAATATTTAAGCTATAGTTTAAGGTACTATATTTATATGTTAGAGTCAGGGTATTTTTGTCACAATTATAGTGAAATATTTTTTTATTTACGAATATTTATTTTACTACATAATCGATTCATAAGATCACCAGCATAGACAATGGTAGGAAATGAAAGGAACCCGACATCAAAAACACTCTCAAGCATTTTTCTGTGCCTGGTTTTTTCGAAAATTTGAACAATATTTTTGCAGTTACCATTGTTGAGGAGTTGATCTTTGTCTCTGACCTTGTATTAAACTATCACGTAAAATTCACAAACAAGATTTTAACATCATAAGCGATGTGTACTTTTACTAACTGCCTTTAATGACTCTAGCCTGGTAACGCTATGCTTATATTAGGCATAGCGTGGTTTTCACCAGCCAACACTTCCTACTTATCTATACAATCGGGAAAAGAGCTGAGAAATGAGATAAAAGAATGAAATTTGGTGCACTTTTGATAGAATTTCTTATATCAAATATTTTTCTACCAATCACAGACGAAAAAAGAAATATAACTACTTTTTGCGACAAACAATGATACAGTCACAACTTAAGGACAATATAATTAAGTGGTACAAAACAGAAGTATCTTAGACCTATAGGTCGACATAGAGCCAAGCTGAACCTGCCATATAGAAACTCCTGTAGATGGCGTTTGCACCGGAAAATCTGTTTTATTACTGTTCAGGCTTGTCCACATTAAGAGTTTAGCATATCGGCTAACAAAAAAAAGTCACATATGCTATTGTATTAGTATGGAGAAAAAATAATAAATAAAATATTTATACACAATATCTTTACGTCTTCAGTAGCCATTTTTATGTTATATTATAGATGCAGACATGTGTATTTTTATGACATACAAAATTTAGATCTGATATAATACTTTTAATAATATATACTATATAATATTGTTATATATAGAATACAATAATGTATTTCTGTCCACAATTGTCCGGTTTCAGAGTTGAGCATATGGCTTAAGCATGTGACTTAACTCTGACCACATTATCCAACTCATTTCATACCACCTCTAACACAGAAATCAGCCAAAAACTGCTGCGTATAAAAGAGAAATGATATATAATCAGTGACGACGCGTGCCCTATCTGGAAGGGTGTGCGGCCCTTCTTTAATGTTGTTTTTACATGTACCACTTATATTAAAATATATGAGATCTTTTATTAATAATAACTATATTATATAAGGCAACAATATATTCGCGCAATATTATAATTACAATTCATTAACAAAATAACATATTAAACAAATTAAATTAATAATTTATGTACAAGTTTAATATTATATCAATATGGAAGAAACAAAAGTTTTCACATAATTCTCGTAACATCAAACCAAATTTTTTCAAACAAAAGAGTTTGTACTTAGAAACATACATGTTTGTGCAGTGATCAAACAAAATCGAAACCACTTGCAATGTGCGCACAAGTACCCCGCACAATAAGAACAGAAATTCGTGGGTGCTGCTGTTAAAAGGGGAGAGACGAAATGTGATAGAAATGTATGGTGAGATGAGCTGCAAACTTCAGCCGCTCATGCAACCACTTTGGCAAATCATCATGTTGGATTCGTATGCATACAGTTGATATTACAATTCAATTCCCACTATATAAATCTCCATCTCTCATATTACGAACGGGAGCTCACGCACATTTTTTTGTTCATATGTAACGTATGAATGTGCGGCCAACTTTTTTGCACACAAAGGGGAGAGACGAAATATAATAGAAATGTTCTGTGATTTGAGCTGCAAATATATGAGCACAACTAACAAGTATAGCGGCTAATAGAAGCAAATTAATTGAGTTTTCATAGACAATTATATTTAATTGTTTTTGGTAAAACTTTAAAAATATATATTTATATGGAAATGTAATAAATAATAATAATTCTTGATGTAAAGATACTTAATAAATTTATATACCTATGTTATTTAACATTTTGCAAATTATATTAGGGTGTTCACCGCACACCTCCGCACCTTAGAGCAGTCGTCACTGTATATAATAGTACATGAAATAGGAAAAAATGTTTAGCATATAATTTAGTCTAGAATTTCTCAACCCACGATCCGTGGACCGCGTCATTATAACTACCAGTCGATATAATATATTTTCGTGTTTATATAATGATAATATTTTTTAAAAGATGTTGGTACAGGTTTAATATTTTTTCGGTCCACAGTAAGATTTGAGTTGAGAAACACTGATTTAGCGCATATTAAATAGTTTACCAGTTAGAGATAAAACTGTTTCTAATGAGTTATCTAATCAGGTAGAAATATTAATGTAGCTTAAATTAAAGTTTAAGAATATCATCCTTTAGATAACCTGATTTCAGTAGAGTCAGCATACTTCAGCATTGTAATGAGAATTTAAAGAAACTGTTAATACTAATAACTTGATAATCACTTGAAAGTGGTTATTTTGTAAACGCATCCCACTACATTTTTGAAACACAGCCTGAGAATTTGCCTGGTGTCTCCGATAAAGTTAATGAAGATATAAAAAAATTGTAAAAAAGTTTCAAAATATACGACTTAGGTATAAATTATGATACAACTTATATCAAGCTTCGTCTAATCATATATGTATGTGGATTGTATATATTTTTAGTTTGAAGGTACTGGAGTTCATATATTAATATACTGTTGTGGAAAACTACTCAATAGGATATAATAAAGATCTAGGCGTGCATATTATTTGTACATAATTTTTAGTTTAAAGATGAACTTACTTAACTTTATTAAAATTCGATTTCGATTACTCGTTCATTTAAAGTTATTACAATTTAGAGTGGATTAACTCTTTTTTTCTCTGGCTTTTGCCTATACATACAGCTAATGATCTTGATTTTATGTTGTTGTA